GTAGATTCAATATCAAAGGGGTGATAAAAAGTAAAAATATACCTCTTATAACCGATTTCTTTGATCTCCATGTCCTTCCCCGGTCTCCACAGCGTAGCCATCAACTCCTTGAATACTGGGAATTTTATCTTCCTGCCCGTTATCAGTGCACCCACTACTGCGAAACTCGGTCGAGACTCCTCCCTTGAACCCTCTGCGGTATCGACTTCGTCAAAATCCAGCTCCATCGCCTCCTCATCTACACTCATCTTGCGGTACAGATCGGCAATCGTCTCCATGCAAAGCCCTCGGCGACGGACCCGCTTCGTCTTCCCCCACCTCCGACTCTCTGCTACGGTAATCAATGGAAAGTAAGAGCAGCATGTTAGAATATTTATTTAATTATTAATATTCTAATATTGGTCATGTATTTGGGGTTATATTTTATTAATAGAGTTCGTATAGTCCTAGAGCTTTAATTGGTTTAATGATAGACTGAACCTATGTTTAAGTCTTTCTAGGACTAGGGTTCCCCAACCCTCTCCTCTGCCTCTATATATATGCTTATTCCCTAGGGAATAACAGCACAATATTTAGTGAGAGATTTCTACATGTCAAGAATCTCATAAGGAAAGAGGCCAGAGAGGATAAGGAATTTATTCCAGTTCATTCCTCTATCATGGATCCAGGTATTTCTAAATCTTAGATCTATCAGTATATGATTATGTATAATTTTATGATGCCGATCTTGGAATTTAATCTAACACAGCAATATTCGCCTCTTCTTGTTGAATAGCGTCGAAAACTCCAATCCACAGCCGATTAAAACCAGCATCGTTCCTTGTCGAAGGGATGAGAGCGGACGAACGAAGTCCTAGCGGCGGTCAAGCCCTAGAGAGAGAGCACAACTTAGCTATTAGAGTCATTCATTTACGAACTGGTTGAAGACTTGAAGTTGCCGAAGTTGTTGAAATGACTGAATTATTAAAAATTATGCATTTACATACAGTAATATTTTTAAAATGAATTTTAAAAATAAACTTAGTCTATAATTAATGTCCGAAGTGATTTAGAAAAACTGAAATGTTGAGAGTGAATTGTATGATATCAGGATCATTTGGAGTCGCTTATTGTCATTCAATGAAACTGCCTTGCACCTCATTGATTATACCTCATTGATTATAGATAAATGTGTGGTGTACACAAAATGCGTACACTTTTTTTGTACAGTTGTCTGTCCCCAGCAGACAAGTTGTCTGTCACAGACAACTTGAATTCGAGTTGTCTGTGACAGACAACTTGTCTGCTGGGGACAGAAAGTACAAAAGTGTACACATTTTGTGTACACCTGGAAAAAATCTTGATTTTATAGATATCACCACGGGACAGTTGGTTGCTGAAGTGATGGATCCGAACATAACAACAATCAGTTCTGTGAATAAGTTGCATCCTGAGTAAAAGATTTGCTTTAACATTTGTTAAAATATCGATCTAAACATGCTGCTTTGACATCTTTAAAATTGGCATATCCAGGAGACCAGTACCCTTAAGAGTTCAAATTTGGAGTGGTCCATAAAAGTAATTCACTCATGTAAATCTCCATAGTATTTTTTTTTTTATAACCAAACTTGGGCAATGTTCTCAAAGATGAAACTATTCAAAAATTAATTCTTTGCTTGCAGATTATCATTCTTGTCACTGTGATAGTCTTTTTTTGTCTCACCATTTATTGCCGTTTTCTTGTCACAAAGCGTGGACTATATCCTCGTGATCGTGGATTTCAGCTATTCTTTCAATCGATAATTAGGCCAAATAAAAAGCTTCTTTAAGCCTGTTTCTATTGATAAAACTCAAATATATTAGCGGCATCCCGAAAACGTATTCACATACTAATATTTTGTTGCAGATTTTTTTTGAACTCCAACTGACTGATATTAATTCACCAGATCGTGAGCCAAAAGGCTTACAATAGAGTCAGGAACAAGGTCATAACAACATGACTGATCTGAGATAGTAACATGTGCTCTTGCTAATGTATGAGCAACACGATTCGCAGATCGCTTACAAAAAGAGACAATAAAATTACTCTTTGTTTTCAAAAAATTCCTAATGTCATCAACAATAAGGTAGAGGTAAGAGGATCCTCCCCCATTTTTGAGGTCCTGGACCACCGATAGAGCATCTGTCTCAATCTCCACGTGTGAACAGCCTGCTTCGACCGCCCCAACCAATGCATCACAGATCGAAACATCAAATATAACACGAACAATTTAATCATCAGGATAAACTATACTGGTACATATTCAAACACTGTTGGGTTCCCCCCTTAATTGAGAAACTAATGAGAATTCTAGAATACTGCGGAGATGTCTAGATTTCTCTAGTTGTGTGTAGAGAAATATTGAATGTTCTAGAATATTCCGAAGCTTTCTAGAGAGACGTGGAATTATCTAGTAGTGTGTGGAAGAGTATAGAATATTCTAACATTGTGGAGTTTTCAAGAGAAGTGTGGAATTCTCTAAAATCGTGCGGAAGTGTGTGGAAGCCTCTAGAACATTCTCAAGCGATGTGGAGTTCTCTAGATACTTTTAGAAGATTAGAGAAGCTTGTGGATAGTTCTTAGAAGAATCTAGAAATGTAATGTTGTATAGAAACTTCTAGAGAAGTTTACAGAAGAGTTGTATAAATAGGGATGAGACTCCTCATTCCTAAGTGAGAGCCATGTGAGGAGGGCCTAGAGCTTAGTGAGAGAGCCTCATGTGAGTGAGCCTAGAGGGAGAGTCTCCTCAAGTAATGAGAGAGAGAGCCTTGAGAAGAGCTCTTGAGTGAGTGAGAGCCTCCTTGAGAGAGGAGAGTGAGAGTGAAGTAGTCCCATATACAAAGAGTGATGTGAGTTACCCGTTTACTTGTAAAATATCTCTTGTACATTTCAATTGTATAATACAAAGTGATATTATAGATTGAATCTTTGTGTTATGAGTGGGTGGGTGAATGTACAAGAGACCTTTGAGCTGATGATCCTGGAAGATGTTGGGGGTCGTGTTTTCTCAACAAACACTTCTACATGTTAAACGTAAAGCAATTCTAAAGATATTTCAAACATATAATTTTGAAAATTCTTTTGACACCTTGCATTTCTTACTGAAATTGAATACATTTCTTTCTCGATAAACATCTAGAAAAAATGCTGCCCACATGACTCGTTGAAAAAGGTTGTTGGAAAATGTATCCCAAAATTCAAGACATTTTGGACCTTTTCATGGGAAAACAGTTTCTCGGACCTTTTAGACCATGTCAACAACTCTCTATTCGTTCATCAATAATAGAGAATCATAATCACTGCCTTTCTGTCAAGTTTATCAGCTTACTTTGGTCCCTTTACTTAACACTTCATGCCAATTGCCAAAGGGCGTTTAGTAAATTAATTTTGAAATGGTAATCCAGCTGCGGAATTTAAATAATCCATAATATGCCTTTTATGCTTTAATGATCTCAATTTTTGATTTGTTTCATTTTTTCCTCTTCAAATTCTCGAATTACTCCCAATGATTTCTTATCCAAATAAAGTGTTTTTCACTTAAAAAGTCGGGCATATTTGTCTGGGTGATGGCTTACGACTTACTCCGTACAATTTTTCCGTACTTCAACTTTTCTAACTCTACGAGTATATATCCACAATCCAAAAATGTCATGTTTAATGTAATTTCGTAACGAAAATGATGGAAACCCTCTAGGCCATGATTGCCACGGCGGTAAGGTCCTGCGCGGTGCTAGCAACCACCATATCACCTAGGTGACAATTAGGAATTACGAAATATTTAATTGAGCTCGTTACAATCCCAAATCAAACCATACCAAACTTAAACAAGTCACATCAGATTTTGGCAATTGTAAAACATATATCAAACATAAATCTATCAAATCATACTACTTTAGACCAAAGCAAACTTAGACAGACCGGTACATATCAGACCAAAACATTTCAATCCAACTAAATACATCCTTGGTAGGCTTACAATACCTTAATGGTCCGATCTGTTGTGATGAAACGGAGAAAAAGGCATGAATGTACAATATAAAGAGAGATGAAATAGTTGTTGATTCAAGAGAAAGAGAGCAGAAAAGAGAACACATTTCACAATTAAAATTGTGTAACCATTTTAGTATTTTACCCCAACTAAAAACATTTTTCATTTATTTGCAATGGAACCAAAGACTCACCATTTTTTGGCTTGAGAATATGATGAAATAAAGTAAAATGACTAACTAAATTGAGTGCGTTTCGTTATTATGAAGCAATAGCCAGTCCATGCAATTTTCGACGTAAATTTTACCATGGATCATTTGAAAACAGTTTATGTGCTTTAGTATAGGAGTAAGACTGCCTACATCGACCCCTTACCCACTACAAAAAAACACGGAGTTAGTCACGGATTTAGTCACGGACCCTAGTATAAAAAATCCGTGACTAACTCTGCTAGTCACGGAAAAAGTCCGTGACTAAATCCGTGACTGTTTGGGCGTGACTAAATCTAGTCACAGCCGTTTTTCCGTGACTAAGAGTAGTCACGGATTAGTCACGGACCCTATCCGTGACTAATTTGTGACCGGAATAACCACACCGGCGACTTAGTCACGGCCTCTATCCGTGACTACATTTAGTCACGGACCAATCCGTGACTACTTTTTCAAATTTCAAATGTGACCGCCAGTTTACATTTAAATTTCAAATTTCAAATTTTCAAAATTTTAAATTTAGTCACGGACGAGATCCGTGACTACTTTTTTTTTTTAAAAAAAAAACATTTTTAAAATTTTAAAATAATTTTAAAAAAACCGGTCTAGAATTTAGTCACGGCTTAGATCCGTGACTAAATTTTTTTATTTTAAAAAAAAAAACTTTTTTGTTTTAAAAAAAATTAAATTTATTTTTCAAATTTTCTTTAGAAAAGTTTATTTTTAAAAAATCATTGTAGAATAACAGTAATAAACAGACAATTAGAACACACATTTCATCCATAAACAGACTGAAATAAAAGTAATAATAAACATAATACAAATATAGTAAATAAACAATGTTCAATTAAAAATGTATATCGTTTACAAGCTCCTCCGACTACCATTATGATAATATCTATAATCATCATATAGATAATCTTCTTCGGTCTCATCTTCTCGGTTGCTTCCACCTTGGCCTTCTCGGTTGCCACCGCGACTGCCCCCTCCGCGACTGCCCCCTCCGCGACTGCCACCTCCGCAACTGCCTCCTGCTTGGCTGCCTCCAGATGTTTGAAACAGGTTATGAAAATTGATATCCTAAAAAGAACCATATGAAGGCAACCCGGAAGCAGAGTTGGAACGGAAATAACCGCCCATCTGCGGAACTTGAGGAGTCTGCTCGGGGTGCAGTATATACGGCTGAGGCTGAGGCTGATTCTGAATTCCGGCGCTGAGGATCCGTTCCATCGCTTCCAGCCGGGCTCTTGTTTCTTCGTCCTTTTTGCGTTGCTCCTCCAACTCCCGCTGCAATTGAGCGATACGTGGATCCTCTCCGCGCCTTGATCGAGAAGATGAAGCGCCGCTGTGGTCGTACAAAATCTGTTGCCCCTCGGCCCCCATGCACGGAACCCGGCCTTTGTAGACCCCAGCTGCCTCAACGATGGCTTCATCTTACATATCAGAATCAATCTCATCCTCCCGAGTCAAGCCTAATTCCGCCCGCTTCTTCTCAACATTTGTGTTATACTTTGTCTACATGTACAAAAATTGTTAATTTAATGTTACTCAATTCGATTTTGAATGGTACTAAGTGACAAAATAGATGTTACTGACTTCGATTTCAGCGAGGCGGGGTGGCAGATCGGCATCGGACTCATCGCCGTGCTTCGTCCAGCAGTGCTTAATGACCTTGAGAATTGAGACCTTCTTCTTCTCAGGCCCCGCCTACATAGTTCGAAAAAAAGGCTTAAGATCCATAAATAAATGTAAAAATGAAGGGTTGTAATGGTATAAGGTTTTTTGAATAAGACTTACAAGATCCTCTTTATGTTTACTCTGAGGTTTGCGGCCCCCGTGCCATTGGGTTTCTAAGGCCTTCTCGGACATCCGGTTTTTCTTACTGGATTGACTTCTTGCCAAGAAGTTCGGATCAGAAGACCAGTGACAGACGAGGTTAGCCCACACCTCATCCGAACACCATCCAGGCTTTACCCCGCTCGCTCGGGCACGCCTAAAAGTAGGACGAAGCCAGTTTGAAATCCTAGCGTTATACGCTTTAAGAATAGCGGGACCTTGGGCTTCAGTCCATCGAAACCGGCCCTTTATAAAAAACAAATAAATTAATTTATCTTTTATCAAATGTTACGTTAATAGAATTACGCAGAGAAAATTCATTTTTTTTTACCTTGAACAGGTTCCACCAAAGTTCACGAACCTTGGGGTCAACTTCCATATATGTTGCCCAGTTCCCAAGAAAGTGTCCTCCAATTATCAGTTTGATTTGGTCCAACACATCTTGATCGCTTCAAAAAATTAATAATATTTATTTATAAAAGTTTTGATTACATTATGTAAAAATTGAAAAAAATTATTTGACGTTAGATAAAATTCATAGTTACTTACTTTGCAACCATGTGAGGCGTCACCCAAAGCGCATTTTCATTGTTGCGCTCAGCTTCAGTTAAGGGCACATAGTTTGGGCGGGGACGCGAGGTCAATTGTTCATTGCTCATCTAAAATATACTACGTATTATTTTATATTTTTAACTGTTAGTGTGATTTATAATTTTATCAATTGAAAATGTGTATATCATATTAAACTGTGTGTAAATTTAATATGAGGGTGGTAATTTTATAAATAAATTTTGTATAACTCTAAAATAAATTGTTCTTAAAGGTAACATGTTAAACTTTTAGGCAAGTTTACATGATGGAACATAATTTATTTTGAAAATTTAAAGTTTAGTGTTTTTTTTTTTGACTTTTTTTAAGGATGTTAATAAATTCATTTTATTGCATTTGTCGTACTATTTTTTAACTTTTTATATTTTTTAAGGATATAATATGGAGTAATTTTAAATTTCGTATTGTGGAAATTTTAATTTTTAAACTTCAAATTTGATGAAAACGGTTAGCAACACAAGAGGGGGGGTGAATTGTGTGTGTGTGGAACCGTGGCAGTTTTTCGCCGAGTTCTAGTGTGGGATAAAGGGAATTGCAAAATAGTAAAGTGCACAAGAATTTAACGAGGAAAAATCCCTTGGCTCAAAGGGATTAAAAAACCTCGACCTCCCTCGGAGGAATTTTAAACAACTTCACTAAACAAGCCTTTGAAAGAGTTACAAGAGTGATTCTCCTAATCTACCCTTGAGCCTCCCCAACTCTATCCTCTCTAGGAAGAGTTATGCATCTCTACCTTGCGGGTAGAGAGCCTCTCAGCTTTGTCGCAAAGCTCTCACACACACTTAACCCGAGGCAGCTACTCTAGCCAATTAAGCCTCAATAATCCAAGTACAATATGAAAGGGAAAAGAGAAACTCTATCTAGAACTCCGAGCGGGCAGTTTCAGGCGCCAAGGACTTGATCCTTTTCTTGAATGATTCTTCTAAGTATTTTTCTCGGTTCAGCACACATTCTTCTTCTTCTCGATCTCGATTATATAGACTGCTAGGAATGGATCCGTTGAGACTCTTCTCTCTTTAGATGTTTGAGGAACTTGCCTTGATATTATTTGAAATACTTTCCTTTTATTTAAGGATCTTCTAGCTCTTCATTATGATGATCCTTGGTCAACCATAAATATGTGGGAGCAGGAGGATACGTTCATATCATGAGCAAGTAAGAAGAAAGGAATAGAATATATTATGTGATCAATCATTTAATAGCAATTAACATGGAAATGATTTATTCTCTTATATGAGCATGCAACGAATCTTAAGTGGATTATATTTCAAACAAGGATCCCTTTTCAAATCGGTATAAATTATTCTCGAATAAAATATTTAACCAATATAGGCATGCAACGGCCAAGTGCCAAAAATATATTCAATTATGAGACATGCAATCATGTATAGCAAGCCAAGATACTTTCCAAACAAATATTCATTTAATATTTTAACTAGGGATGACTTTTCAAAATCGTATGTCAAAGAAATATTTACTTAACAAATTTAAGCATGTTACGTTCAACTTCTATAAAGGTAGTAAAGATGCTTTCCATTAAATATTAAATTATTTAGGTTAACTCACTTAAGTGGGAGACCAATCATTTATGAAAATATATTTAAATTATGCCACTTTCATGATTACTTTCCATAAAGCATATGTAACAATACATTCCACAAAATTTCAATCAATTATGGAAAGATATTAATGCATGTAAAATATCATACGTTGAAAGACATGCACACGCAGACTAATTATGGGACCGAGAGTTTCGTGGAACTGTTCTGTCCAGAGTTCATATTAGAACTCTCCGTAGTCGGTTCTGTCCCCTGTTCCACCTGCATGGTTAGTCATCAACAAAACCACATACTCAACAAATTCCCCCTTTTTGTTGATGACAAACATTAGGTGCCATAATAATGATATCCCTGCATATTAGTATCAAGTATAGAAATCAACACATAAAGGGGCACCTGCTTTTTCCCCCTTTTGTCATTCAACAAAAGGAATCAAAATATTTCCCAAATCAAGACATATAATTGTTCCCCCTTAGGAGATGCCGGAAGGTCCTGCATGCCCTCTCCGCGACCAGAAAAAGAGATTAGTAACTGAGATTAGGAAAGAAGAAGTAGAACGAATTTGTCAGGAATTAATTAGACCGAGTTCCAGTCTAATTATTTCAAACCTTTCTCTTCCCAGGGGCTTTGTAAAAATATCAGCTATTTGTTTCTCGGTGTTGCAATATTCCAGCCTGATTATTCCCTTTTCCACGCAATCTCTCAGAAAATGATGTCGTATATGAATATGTTTTGTCCGAGAATGCATGACCGGGTCCTTTGATATGCTTATTGCACTTGTATTATCGCATAGGATGGGCGTGCACTTTAAATCAACCCCGTAATCGCTTACTTGTTGCATGATCCACAATGATTGAGAGCAACAAGATGCGGCTGCTACATACTCAGCTTCGGCTGTTGAAAGAGCAACTGAATTTTGTTTCTTTGAGCTCCAAGAAACTAGACAGGGACCTAGGAAGTGAGCCGTTCCAGATGTGCTTTTTCTATTTAGTAGATCACCTGCAAAATCAGAGTCTGAATATGCAATAAGGTTAAAATCATCATTACGAGGATACCATAAGCATAAATCAGCAGTTCCTTTGAGATATTTGAGGATCCTTTTCACAGCCTTGAGGTGAGATTCCTTGGGATTAGCCTGGAACCGAGCACATAGACCTACGCTGAAAACAATGTCAGGTCTACTGGCAGTGAGGTACAGTAGGGACCCAATCATTCCTCGATACATCTTTTGGTCTATGCTCTTTCCTTGTTCATCCGCATCCAGCCTATCATTTGTTCCCATAGGTGTAGTCATGGTTTTGCCTTCACTCATTCCGTACTTCTTTAGGAGTTCCTTGAGGTACTTTTGTTGAGATATTTGAGTTCCTTTGCTTGATTGCTTGATTTGTAGGCCAAGGAAGAAATTAAGTTCCCCCATCATACTCATCTCAAATTCGGAACTCATAAGATTAGAGAATTCATCACAAAGAGAATCGTTAGTAGCACCAAAAATAATATCATCAACATAAACTTGAAAAACCAATAGGGCTTGATCTTTTATTTTTAGAAAAAGAGTTTTATCTATTTTTCCTCTTTCAAAACCATTTTCCAAAAGAAATTTAGATAGACGTTCATACCAAGCACGAGGTGCTTGTTTGAGGCCATAAAGTGCTTTATCTAATTTGAAAACATGATTAGGAAAATCTTGATTTTCAAAGCCCGGTGGTTGTTCTACATATACCTCTTCCTTTAGATATCCATTCAAGAAGGCCGTCTTGACATCCATTTGGTGGAGGGTGAAACCCATATGAGCCGCAAATGCTATGAGCATTCGGATTGCTTCTAGTCTTGCCACCGGTGCAAATGTTTCGTTGAAATCTATTCCTTCTTGTTGGTTATAGCCTTTGACAACCAGCCTAGCTTTGTCTCTTGTAATTTGGCCATGTTCATCAAGCTTGTTCTTGAATACCCACTTGAGACCTATCACGGTCTTGTTCTTGGGTCTCGGTTCTAGATGCCACACCTTATTTCTTTCAAACTGATTTAGTTCTTCCTGCATGGCTAGAACCCAGTCAGTGTCGGAGAGAGCCACTTCATGGTTCTCCGGTTCTATAAGAGATAAATAAGCAGAGAAAGCACAAAAGTTTTTAAGTTTAGATCTAGTTGTTACTCCCTGATTTAGATCGGTGAGGAGATTATCCAGCGGATGTGATCTATGAAGCTTCCAACCCCTAGGAGCGTTGGGTTGGTCCACCAAGTTGTTGAGAGTATCTGAAACTGGTTCTACCGGTTCTACAGGTCCAGTGTCAGTGTTCTGTCCAGGTTCTTCTTCAGTTCCAGATTGTTCATTTTCATTTGTTAGAGGTGGTTCACCAGTTTGATTGTCAGTTCCTTCACCTCCTTGAGATTGTGATTTCTTGCGAGTGATCCCTAGCTCACCATCATCGGCTTGGATTGATTTTGGGGCAAGTGCTTCATCAAAGATTACATGAATGCTTTCCTCCACACATTGTGTGCGTTTGTTTAGAACTTTGTAGGCCTTGCTATGTGGGGAATATCCGAGAAAGATTGCCTCGTCACTTCTAGCATCAAATTTGCCGATGTTGTCTTTCCCATTGTTGTGGACGAAACATTTGCACCCAAAAGTTCTTAGATGACTTAAGTTGGGCTTCCTCCCCTTGAGCAGTTCGTAGGGTGTTTTCCCTAGGAGTGGACGTATCATGGCTCGATTAATGATGTAGCATGCTGTGTTTAGAGCCTCTGCCCAAAAACTCCTAGCTAGACCGCTGGAAATAAGCATAGTTCTAGTCATGTCCTCCAGAGTTCTATTCTTCCGTTCTACCACTCCGTTCTGTTGTGGAGTTCTAGGTGCGGAGAAGTTGTGGTCTATCCCTCGTTCTTTGCAGAAGGCATCGAAGAGAGAATTGTCAAACTCAGTTCCATGATCCGATCGGATCTTGATTAGTCGTAGACCTGTTTGATGCTCAATTTTTCTTACAAAAATAGCAAACTCATTAAAAGTATCTTTCTTGCTAGCAAGAAAGATAGTCCATGTAAATCTTGAAAAGTCATCAACAATAACCAGAACATATTCTTTGTTTCCTCGGCTACGGACTGACATTGGACCACACAAATCCATGTGTATTAGTTCTATGGGCTTGCTTGTGCTCACCAAATTCTTTGTTTTAAAAGATGATCGAGATTGTTTTCCGGTGGCACAAGCCGAGCAAACATGGTCAAATGAAAATTTCATGTTCGGCAGTCCAATAACTAAATCATTATTTTTAAGTTTATTTATTAATGAAAAACTAGCGTGTCCAAGCCTTTTATGCCATAGCAAAGGATCGTTATCAATAACGCTCAAACAAGTCATACTAATATTAGGCAATGAATCAAGATCTACTTTATATGTATTTTCGAGTCTCTTGCCTTCAAGTATAACTTGTTGTGATTCGTTATTAACAATGCGACAAACGTTATGATCAAAAACAACACTATTACCTCGATCACAAAATTGAGAAATACTTAGTAAATTAAATTTCAAACCCTTGACTAAAAATACATTATCAATAGCATGGCTAGGTGACTTTCCAACTTTGCCCACGGCTATGATCTCTCCTTTGCCGTTGTCTCCAAATGTCACCTTTCCACCGCTAAATAGCCGTAGTGAGAGGAATAAAGATTTGTCTCCCGTCATGTGCTTAGAACAACCACTGTCAAGGAACCAGTGATTGTTCCCCCTCACTCGGCGCTGTTCCAGGATTAAGGGTTAGCGCGTGGAACCCAGACTTGCTTGGGTTCCATTTTGTAATTGTTTGAGGAATATCTAACATGATCATAACATCTTTCTAAAGTCTTTTGCCGAGAGTGACATTGATACCGTAGATGACCGATTTTGCCACAATGCATGCAAACTCGGTTGTCATAAGTGTCAACGTATTTAGGTTTCCATTTACCATAAAAGCCTCTTGTTCTTTTATGAAAAGTTCGGTTAGGCGTTTGTCCATAACCGTTTTTGTGCCTCTGAACCAGTCTATCGAACCAGTTTGGTCCAGTTCTAGGTGGCTGTTGATATGGTCTAGAACTGGGTTGTCCTCGGGTTCTATTTCCCTTAAAGGGTTGGTTCTGAAAATTTGATTTTTGATTAGATCGAATATCCCTTGGAATATATCCGAGACCTGCAGTCTCGTTTACTTTCTTATTGTGCTGAGAAGGACCAGTTCCAGAATGATGTCTAGACCTGGTTTTGTTCGTTGCACTATAGGATTGATATTCCGGTCTATTTTTAAAATCAGTGCACTCGGCAACAAGACGATGAAGATGATCAATTAAAGTACCAACGCTCGGAATTTTTGAAAGAAGTTTTTCATCATGATTAACTTGTTTGTTCATACTATCGAGCTTAAGAGAGCAAATGATTTGATCTTGTTCTAAAACCACTTCACTATACTTAAGCCTTTCATCTATTAACTCTCCCACTTTTGTTTCAAGCCTTATCTTGGCTTTCGTGGCTTCCTCGAGTTTAGACTCAAGCTCAGTGATTTGTGATTTAAGATGATCATTTTCA